TTGTCCTCTCCCCCTTCCACCTGGAGAGTGGAGCATTCACTGGGTTCCCCTGCAGATGACACTTGCCCTTCTCCTGAGAAGACATTTTTATCTTGAAATCATCTTGTACCTGTGTCCCAGTGCTGCTCAGTGAAGGAGCCCAGACTGACAAGCTTTTTCCTTTCTTATCTAAGAAGCCACAGCCTAATGCCAAGGTCCCCCAGAATCTGTAGGGGAAGGCCTCTCCCAGCCTTCGGGGCCCCAGGTCTCATGCTTAGGGCTCTCTCCCTGCCACTGCTTGCCTCTTGCTTTGTGTGGGTCTCTCTGGCGAATTATGTGGGTGTTGTGAACTTGGCTGCATTAAGAGTGTCTACTGGCTTTGCAGTTAAGTGGTCTGGTTGTTGGGGATGAAGTCAAGTTGGGGAAGGGGTGAATGCACAGGAGATCTCAGGTGGTCAGGTGACTTAATAGGAAGGCTGTGACAGATGCTGAGACTGTGGGAGCCTTGCATGTACACACGCACAGCCATGTGAGCTGGGAGCCTGAGACAAAAGGCATGTGCAGCCATGCTTGGCTTTTTATGTGTACTGGGGATTTGAACTCTAGTTCTCAAGCTTAGGTAACAAGTGCTCTTACTTGTTAAGCCACTACCCAGTCCCTGTTTATTTACTCATTCATTCAGTGTGTGTTTGTATGTGTACAGGGGTGTGCATGTGTGAGCATACATGTGTGGAGATCAGATGTCAGCTTTAAATATCATTCCTCAGGAGCCATCCACCTTAAAAAAAAAAAAAGTTAACTTTTCTGGATGTTTTTCCTGTACCAACGTTTGTAATGCCCACAGAGGCCAGAGAGGGTGTTGGATCCCTTAAAACTGCTGTTACACATGGTTGTGAGTTACCATGTGGGTTAGAAACTGAACCTGGGTCCTTTGGAAGATCAATCAGTGTTCTTAATCTCTGAGCCATTTATCCAGCCCCACCTTGTTTTTCAAGATAGGATCTTGTTTTAACTTTGGCACAAGTGGCTGAGCTTCAATCTACTGCTATTTCAGCCAGCAATTGCAACTCAGTTAGCAGCCTGCTTCTCTAACAGTGGCCAGGCCGCTCAGGCTGCAGCCACCATCCTGTCACTGCCGCTAAAGGCAGCTTTAACTAAATCTCTATCATTCAATTATAACTAAGACTTGAGATTCAAAGGCTGGGGTGAAAATTGCAAGCTCAGAGAGGCTGAGTAGCAAATAGCTAACCCCCTCTCCTTGCTGGCATCTCAGAAAGATCCCTGCTTCTGCTCTGCCAAACCAGAAAAAGCCACCACTCCAAATCCCTCCCTACTACTTCCTGTGCATCTCTCTACCTCTCCCAGATGCCCTCTGATGCTCTATGATTGCTTTTTGTCAAATAGTTGCTCACTCAGCCTCCTAACCCAAGGTTAATTTTATTTAATTAACGCAAATGCAAACTCGGGATCCACAGTGTGATCAAATATCCCCCAACAGGGTCTCTCATTGAACCTGTAGCTCACTAATTTAAATCCCAGGGATCTTCTTCTCTCTGCCTCCCCACTGCTGGGATTACAAGCATGTGCCACCCTGACACTCCAGTAACTTTTTACAATGTTGCTAGGGACTGAGCTCAGTCCTCGACACTCCAGTAACTTTTTTACAATGTTGCTAGGGACTGGGCTCAGTCCTCATGCTCGCAAAGCAAACGCTGTATTAACTGACCTATTATTATTCCCCAGTCCCCAAGTCTCTTGTTTTTCTAAAGATACCAGTTACAGTGCAGATAGTGGAGACCTTAATTCAGAATGACCTTATGACCTCATTCTAACTAATGACATCTGCAAAGAACCAAGTTCTAAAGAAGGTTGTATCCTGAGGTAACAAAGACTTCAGTGTGTGAATCTGGAGGTGCAGGTAGAGGCTCCTTATCAATGGTCGGCCCTTACAGACCGGATGGTAGGAAGCTTGGGATGAGTCCCGTGGACAAGGAGCCTGTTAATAAAACATAGCAACCCTCTATGAAAAGGACACAACCCAAATCATATCATGAGGGCAATTACAGAAGAAGAGCCCCTGGACACTATGCGCCCTTTAATTCATGCCCACAGAGCCTTCGCATGTGTATTTGCGGTGCTAGGCCCTGGAGGCAGATTCTCAAGGGTCATCTGATAATTGTGAGAAACCCTGAAATCAGAAAACTGTCCCCAGCTGAGCCAAAGATGTCACTTCAAAGAGACTTGATTGTCTCTCCCTTTGCGGCTAACTTGGAAGGTTGTGGTAGGGATCCCTGAGCTGGTAACTACCTTCAGCTTTCAGCTGGCAAGAAAATGGGCCCCAAATCCTAAGGAACCAAGCTCTGCCAACAGCCAAAGGAACAGGAACCAGACTCTTCCCTGAGCTTCTGAGGGAATGAATCGTGCCAACACCTTGATTTTAGTTCAGTGACACCGAATTTATTTCTAACTTTCAAATCAAAAGATAATAACCTTCCTTGTAACCAGTTGCTGAAATTGTGTGTGTATTCATATTCACATGTGTGTGGGCACATTTGTGTGAGGGTGTGTGCACACGTGTGTGTGTGTGTGTGTGTGTGTGTGTGTGTGTGTGTGTGTGTGCATGCCAATGGTTAATATCGGATGTCTTCCTTCTCTTTTATGGTGAGTCACACAGTCTCTTACTGAACCCAGAGTTTGCTGGTTTGGCTAGTCTAACTAGCTATCTTGCTCTGGGGATCTCCTGTCTCTACGGCCATCCGAACTCCGGTCCTATACCACTGCAGCAAGCACTCAGTGAGACTGAGTCCATTTCCCCAGCCCCTCAGTTACTGAATTTGTGACTGTTACAGCAACAATGAAAACCTAATGTGATGTTGGGAGACAGCACACAAACCAGAATGGAGAGCCACAGGGTTGGTTATCAAGCACACAAAAAGAACTCAATATTCCAAAGAACAAATTGCTAAAAAGAAAAAAAAAGCGCGTACATTTCACCAAAGAACAATGACTAGATGGTAAAAGTATGAATAGAAGATTAACCCCACTCATGATTAGAAAGAGAAATTCAAAGAACAATGAAGTTCTGTTTGATTCATCAGATTGGCCAAACTGATAACAAATGTTGGGGACAATATAGAGCAGGGGATCCATAGCCTGGAGCCCTTAGGCCAAATTGGGCAAGGTCTTGATTTTATAAATAAAGCTTTATTGGAATACCCACCCACTTGTTTATATGTTGCTCATGGCAGTGTCTGAGGTAGAATGGAGAACTGAACAGTTGTGACAGAGACTGTAACGTTTGAGAAGCACATGACTCTTACAAGGAGGCCATTCCAAAGGCAGTCCATTTCAATGCTGAACTTATTGCAGCGCTGTAGGATCAAACCTAGGGCCTAGTGCACTCAGGGCAAGTGCTCTGCTCCTGGGCTGAGGAAGAGAGGCAGTGCCCATCTAACTCCTAATGGAAGTTTGACCACCTTTGATGTCAATCAGGAGCCTTCTAGTGATTTTGAAGAGCAATCGGGCAAGACCCAAGTGAGGTCGGAGGTATGCATGCACTTGAATCTGCAGTTCTACTTCTAGGTGTTTACCTGAGATAAACTCTAACATCCACACATTAAGGAGACAAGTGCAACAATCCTTTGTTCACTTACAAAAAATGAATATAGACATTTATTTGTTTTCAATTATACATTTACTTGTATTCAATTATTCTTTATCTTGGTTTTTCCTCTCCCATCTGAGGGGAAGTACAGCTCTGTACCCAGAGGCTGTTCTAGCTGCCTGATGCTTGAGAATTTGCTCCTTGTCTAAGATGCATGATCTTGCAAGGGCCTGTAGCGTGCTTTCTAGGAGAGCCTCTTTAAGCAGCTTGTGGTTCCTCCTTGTGTGCACACCTCCGGCCACTTGGAATTATTGTGAGGTCTTTTTCAGATCTCAGGTCCTCTCATTTACCACAGACACTGCCAGGTGTCAGTAACCCTCTGATGTGTTGGACCTTTCTTTCTTCTCTAAATCTCCTTAACGTCCATTACTCCAGGAAGAATTATCAGTAGTCCTTCAAGTCCAGAAGCCACCTTCTCTTGAAGTCCTCCTTGCTTTCTCTGGGTCCTCCCTCTTCCTTTTCTTTGCTTTTTTCATATTAGGGCAGTAGATTATTTCCTCCTGCTGCTTTGGGTACCAAGCAGACACATCTCTATGCTCCCTCCCACAAGCTGTGTGACTTTGGCTGAGTCTCTGAACCTCTCGGTGTCCCGGAGATTCATTAGTAAAACATAAATGCCGTCCGGCAGTGGTGGCGCATGCCTTTAATCCCAGCACTCGGGAGGCAGAGGCAGGTGAATCTCTGTGAGTTCGAGGCCAGGACAGACTCCAAAAGCTACACAGAGAAACCCTGTCTCGAAAAAAACAAACAACAAAACCCAAAACAAAACAACAAAAAAACCAAAACCAAAAAAAACCCCTAAATGCCAATTTTGTCCGAGTAAGTTGGCTTTCAGTCTAGAAAGTTATGGTTCCCGCCAATTGCGACCCAAAATCCTTCCTGTGGGCTAAGACCTGAAAATAAACCCTTAAAATCCCACTCCTCACCCGAAGGTTAGTGCTTCATTTTCTCTCCTGTTCTTCCAGTTTAGAGGCTGTACCCTGAAAATCACTTGTCCTCCAGCGGCTCCACACTCCAGAAAAGGAGCAAACGTTCACAGACTAAGCCGGGGAACAAGATGTGTGGGCCCCGCCCTGACTCCGACCCCGCCCACCACATCCCACCGCCCCGCCCACCACATCCCACCGCCCCGCCCACCACATCCACCGCCCCGCCCACCACATCCCACCGCCCCGCCCACCACACCCCACCGCCCCGCCCACCACACCCCACCGCCCCGCCCCTACATACCTCTTATTGGCTAGGGTTCCGCCTCGCCCCGTTTCAGGCCACGCCTCCTCCAGGCAGACACTTCCGCTTCTTGTTGGATGTCGTCCCACCTCATCCCGCCCCTGATACCGTCACTTCCTGGTAGCGTACACTTGGAAGGCGGAAGTTTGTGTGCCGGAGGCAACGAAGCGGAGCTGAGGTGTCGCTAGCCTTGCCTGCGGCTCTTCCGGGTCTCTGCTCCACTCCCGCGAGGTGGAGGCGGGAACCTGGAACCATGGCTGTGAGGCAGCTGCGTAGCCTGGCAGGGTCTGGGGGCTGACATCCTCGACGCCTGTCCACGGGCCCCTTGCTCCGAGTTTAGGGTTAGCTAGGGTCGCGCTGTCCCGGCCCCCAGACCCTCAAAATGACCGCAGCCTCCACCTCCAAATGGGGGCTAGTCACGAACGTCGTAAACAGCATCGTGGGGGTCAGCGTACTCACCATGCCTTTCTGCTTCAAACAGGTGAGTCGGGGTCGCGAGGGGCGTCAGTTTGAAGTGCTCGGCTGGTGGGAAGGGTATGTGAACCCAGCGGGCAGGGAAGAGGCTCCCAGGCAACGTCCTCACAGCGTGTTGTCTGAATCTGCGCCCTCCATGTACACTAACAACACCCTAAGGAAGGGCACAGTGAAAGAGAAATTAGCGAATTGATAGTGTTCATCCTGTTATTGACTCTGACCGACTGCACGAAAGCACGCCGGTCTTCAGCTCTGGCTTACAACAAGGCTTAATCAAAGTGATTTAAAGCATTGTCTAGGTTTTACTTCTAAGAGCTGTGTTGCACAAACACTGTACGTTTGGTCCGATCTGTGCATATACCATCCCAGCTGGAAAAACCGGCATACAAAAAAGTTTGGTGTTATTCCAACATTGAATGCCACATGAAAAGATGGCAATTTCTACGTGGCTCTGTTGACTCTACCAATGATTTGCGGAAGCCGATGGAAGCATCAAATTGGGTAATGACTGTTAACAAAAGAAGTGTGGGTCTTCCCCATCCCTTCTCCACTCACTTATTCATGCCATGTGTACTGCTGTCATCTGCTGCTGAGACAGCGAGACCTTAGGGCAAAGACCCACTACTTCTACCTGATGACGCCCAAGACATTTTGGAAGTGAAAGTGGTTGTTGATAATTTAATATTAGATTAAAAACTACTTTGCATGTTTTATATTTCACATCTCCAGAGTAAAATAAAAAAAAGTTTTTTGATCAGGGAATTTTTGATTCTCTGCATACTATCCTGATTGAGAATGCATCTAGGTTCCTGTGTGGGGTCTGCTATGGTCGATGAGTGTAGGCAGGACAGAGCTAGACCCTCTGGGGTGACATCTGTGTTGTGAACCCCAGTGTTGAGTCAGTCACTTCTGGGTGTTTCTGAAGTGTCTACGTGTCCCAGTGTCCATGGCAACTTGTCTGTCAACAGAACTGCATCCTGGGATAGGGAGTGTTGGCTGGTTTCAAATCTCGTGTGAACCCTGTCATCTTTGCTGCCTGTCTGTGAAGAGCCCTTCACTGGTCTCTGTTGTAGATGCCTGGGAAGATAGATGTTTGGGCTCAGGTGATTGAGCAGTTTTGAGATTGGGACATTGCTGTGCATGGGTGCTAGGCCTCTGCTAGAGCATGTGAAGATGAGCCAGGTGGAGATCTGTTTGGGAAGAGCTTGGAATTGAGTAGGGGAGCCCAATGTGCAAGCCAAACTAGAAACAGTCACACCATGTGCCTAAAGCCTGTCAGTTCCTGTCACTGGTGTCTCCTCTAGGGACCTTGGGTCAGATCCAGTAGAGTATTGGGGTGTGTGCAAGTGTTTAGCAGGCGTACCAATAAAAACTTGGGGTTTAGTGCTAGTTTGTTTAGTGATCCTGGCAATTTAAAAAAGAGAAACATTTTATTGTGATTCAGTGTGTAGAAAGCTGCATACACTTTAAGTGTACTCTTGATGAATTTTCATGAAGTGAAGGAGCATATAGCACCTTACTGTGCAGAGGAATCTCATAGTGCTGGCACACTTACCAGTTGCTCCTGCTCACCAGAGGACTACCACCTACTGCTGGCTTGTGCCAGAGATTGGTATGGCCTGGTCTGACCTGGTGGAGGTGGGATCACGGTGTGTAGGAATCAGCATCTGGTTGATATTCCATGTTGTGTGTAGACCGTGCCAGTGTTCCTTCGGGAGACACGCAGACCCTGCTGTGGGATCTAGGGAGTGAGGGGGTGGGGAGCCTGCTGGCACAGGTGTCCTCTGCAGCGTTTGGTATCATGGGTCTTTGAACCATTCTGATCAGAATTTGATGTTATCTTGTGGTTTGTGTTTTATATTGATATGTTTGTTTATTTATTTTTAGTAATTTTAGCTTTATGGCCAACCGTGTAGAAAGTACAGGAAGCCCCTATGTCCCTCCCCCCAATTCCCCTTTTGGTAGCAGATTTTGAACTGGTCTAGTGGTGCTAATATTTTGTTTTGTTTATTTTTACTTTTATTATTTTTTAATCTTTTGTAGTCCTGAGGCTCAAATCCCAGGCAAACATCCTACTGTTGAGCTGTATCCTCAAACCACTAACGTCAAGATAGGGTTTCTCTGGGTAACCCTGGCCGTCCTGTAACTTGATTTGTAGACCAGGCTGGCGTCAAACTCACAGAGATCCTCTTGCCTTTGCCTCCCGAGTGCTGGGATTAAAGGCTTATGCCACCACTGTCTGGCTTTTTTTTTTTTTTTTTTGAGACAGGCTTTTACTATATAGCCCTGGAACTTGTTATATAGATCAGGATGGTCTTGAACCCACAGAGACGCACCTGCCTTTGTCTTCTGAGTACTGGGATTAAGACTGTGGTGGTGCTCGCCTTTAATCCCAGCGTTCAGGAGGCAGAGCCAGGAGGATCTCTGTGAGTTCGAGGCCAGCCTGGTCTACAAAGCCAGATCCAGGCCAGGCACCAAAACAACACAGTTTTTTGTTTTTCCCTGTCTCGGAAAAATAAAAAACCCAAAAAGTCTGTGGATCATCATGCCTTGCCCAAGTCACTGATGCCTTAAATGTCAGAGTTATTGAGGAGCTGTTTTCTTGCAATAAAATGCACCCGTTTTAGGGTGTGGTTCCCTGGGTTTTGATATGTGTATACAATTGTGTTGCTACTGTGGTCAGGACATGGAGTAAAGAGTTCTTTTATACCAAAAAGTCTCCTCTGCCCCTCTGTAGTCAACAGCTCTCCCTCCCTCAGCCATACGACATATTGCCTAGCCCTGCAGTTAGTCTTTCCTATGTATGTGGCAACACACAGTATGCTGCCTTCATGGCCCCTTCCTTCCTTCAGCATGATGCATTGTGCCATTGAAAGGTTGGGAGTTCTAAACCTTAATACTGAATAATATTTCTTTGCATGGTTGGACTACAGTTGTTTTCTAGTCACCTTTGAAGGCCATGGGGTTGCTTTCTTGTTTGGGGGTTATGGCTGAACCCACTGTAAATGTACAGGTTTGTGCATAAATATTTCATGTCTGTTGGGGGAAAGACCTAAGAGTAGTCACAGGATCACGTGATCATCATCTGTTTATAAGGAAGGCACACATCATTTCTAATCCTTCTAGACCATGTTTCCACATAGGGCTACTGAGAAAGGTAGCTAAAGATGCTGCATGTGAGGTGGGTGTAGGGAATGTGGGGTGCTAGCTGATGGCCTCACCCAGTAGACCTAGGACTAACAAGCCATTTTAAAACGACACTCAGTGTTCCTGCTTCGGTTTTATGGAAACATCATTTTCAGGTGCCATCCACAGGAGGTCAGGACCTCCTATGGTCACAGAAGGAGCAGTGAGGGCCTGCAGGAGCCCCTCGTGCTGTGGATGTACGAAGTGGAGACTTGAAGAAGGTCTGGTTTTGCAAATGTGTCTTTTTCTCTCCACCTTACAGTGTGGCATCATCCTGGGGGCCCTGCTGTTGGTCTTCTGCTCATGGATGACACACCAGTCATGTATGTTCTTGGTGAAGTCGGCCAGCCTGAGCAAGAGGAGAACCTATGCTGGCCTGGGTAAGCCCCGACTTTCAGAATGCTGGCAGAGCTGATAGGCCCCTTCTCAAGAAGTTTGATGCTTTTGCTTGTAGGGGTCTGGGGGGTCTTTTTTGTGTGTGTGGATGGGTGATACGGAAGAAGACAGAAGGGGAGGTGGAAGGAGGTGGGGAGGGAGGAAGAGGAGGAAGCAGGGGAAGGAGGGGAAAATAGAGGGGGGGAAGGAGGAGGAGGGGAGTTGGGAGAGAGAGGACAAAAAAAAGGAAGAGGAAGAGGGGGAAAGAGAGCAGGGGTGGAAAAATGAGAATCAATGGAGGAGGGAGAGGAGGAAGAGGGTCTGGGGGGGGTCTTATTCCTTTTGTTTAGTTATTTTTCTTCTATTTCTTCTAAAGGAAGTTTCTGGATTTTTTTCTTTTGTTTTTGTTTTTAGAGCAATGTTGTTGGTTTTTGGTTTTTTTATCCCCCCACCCCCAGACAAGGTTTCTCTGTATAATAGCCCTGGCTGTCCTGGAGCTTGCTTTGTAGACCTGACTGGCCTCGAACTCACAGAGATCCTCTTGTCTCTGTCTCCCAAATGCTGGGACTAAAGGTGTGCGCCACCATACCTGGCTTTTTTAAATTTTGGTGCAAGGTGGGTGTGGTGGTGTTTATCTCTAATCCTAGCACTTGGATGGATAAGGCAGGAGGATAAGATGTTCAAGGCCAGCCTCTGTTTGGCTTCATAGCAAATTTGAGGCCAGTTTGGGCTACATGAAACTATGTCAAGCCAGGCGGCGGTGGTGCATGCCTTTAATCCCAGCACTCAGGAGGCAGAACCAGGCGGATCTCTGTGAGTTTGAGGCCAGCCTGGGCTACAGAGAGAGTTCCAGGACAGGCACCAAAACTATAGAGAGAAACCCTGTCTCGAAAAACCAAAAAAAAAAAAAAAAAAAAAACCCAAAAAAGAAACTATCTCAAAAAACAAAACAAGGGCTGGTAAGAGTTACTGCACACACCTGGCATCCTGAGTCCAGTTCCTGGAACCCACATAAAGGTGATAACAGAAGGAGAGAACCAGCTACACAAAGTTGTGTTCTGAGCTACACAGCCACAGTGGGGTACAAATGCATGCATACACATATGCACACACATTATTGTTTTTTGTTTTGTTTTGTTTTTGAGACAAAGTTTCTCTGTATAATAGTCCTATCTGTCCTGGATCTCGCTCTGTAGACCAGACTGGCCTAGAACTCACAGAGATCCTCCTGGCTCTGCCTCCCGAGTGTTGGGATTAAAGGCATGCACCACCACTGCCCGGCCTGTTGTTTTTGAGACAAAGTTTCACTGTGTAGGTATACCTAGCCTGGAACTTACTATGTAGATCAGGCTGGCCTACAACTCACAGAGATCTACTTGCCTCTGCTTTTTAAGTGCTGAATATAATTTTTAAAACACGCAATCAAAAACACTGTTCAAAAAAAAAAAAAGACCTGGTGGCACTCACCTTTAGTCCCAGCACTTGGGAAGCAGAGACAGGTGGATGGATCTCTGAGTTCCAGGCCAGCCTGATCTACAGAGTGAGTCCAGGACAACCAGGGCTACACAAAGAAATCATGTCTCAAAAACCAAAAAAAAAAGTAGAACACCTGCCTCAGAACTGGACTGAGGTGGAGGGTAGAGAGCATCAGGCCTCTCTTTCACGCCCTTGCGCTCCTACCTCTTTACAGATGCACATACCTGCCCTTCAAGTCCATAGACCTGCGCTCCCATAGCCTTCTGCTGACTTGCTGCCGCTAACTCCCAGTACCTTGAAGCCTTCCTTGGAGCTGCAGAAAGGAGCCCCTCCAACCCCTGGAACTCCACGACAGAAACACTTCAGTCTAGCTTGTGTCTGGGACTCGGTGCCCCATCTGCCCCGAGGGTGGGCTTTTCTCCCAGGACTGTTGGTTGCAGCGCTGTTCCCTCTAGTTCTTCTCAGTTCAGCCACAAGGACTAAATGCAGCGCTTGCTTGTGCTTGTCTTTAGGTAGTTTGGCTTCAAGAGCAGGAGAGTGCCTCACTCTCCTGTCCTCCCCTCAGGTCGGCATATGAATCTGGTTGTTTCTGCCTGCCAGGTTTGGACTTTCTTGCTGTGTAGCTCATTCTGGAATTCTTTGGCATGGGGGTCAGAATGCCACTCTTCTGCTCTTGTTACTTAGCCTTGTGGGGGAATGTGGAAAGAAAACTTCTAGCCTCCAGGGATGTTCCTGACCTCCCCCAGCCAGTGTGTGGCTGGAATGTTGCTCTCACCTGCATAGCGCCTAGCCTCTGATCCTGACTCTCACCATCAAGCGAGGGAACTGGTGCAGCATTTGGGGGCAGATGGAATAGTGCAAGATAAAGTAGTTCTTAAGGCCTGAATTCGAGTGATGGGCAAAGGCACCTCCGCCTTGCCCTCCTCTAGAGATGCACATATGGGCTTCTGCAGTGTGGCCTCTTATTTTTTCCCAGTCTGCTTTGCGGTGGTACCAGTACCCTGATGTTCATTCCTGGCCTCAGATCCCAAGGGATGAGTTCCTTCTCTTTCTTTTGTGATGAGGTTGGTTCTGTCTTTTACTGCCATTTGAAGAAGTGAGGTTTATCAGTTAAACTTGATCCACACTGAGACAGCGTCGTTCTGCCCTACCAGAAAGCAGGAGGTGAGGTCGTTGGGGGTTGCCCTTGGTGGTGTGGAGCCATGTTGCTGTGTGTGGTCCTTTTCCTCTGAGACCTGTCCATGTTTTGTAGCTGAAATTCCAGCTTCTGTGTCCTGTGTCCTGAAAGAAGATGTGAGCTCAGCCCTGGGCTGGGGCAGCCATGGCTTCTTGTAGTTGGTTGGCCAGTCAGTTATTCTTCGAAAGTCCCTGAGAAGTCAAACTGGTTTGTCTAGATTTGAGCAATGGAAAGAAAATTGTCAAATGAACACCTCTGAATGCTGGCTGCCTGGGGTTCCAGCTTTAACTGAATGTAGTAACTTACTGGAAACAACAAATTCCCCAAAATTCCCGGTAGTCTAGCTTATGCTCCCCCCCCCCCCTTTTCTTTTTTCTGTCTTTTGAGACAGAGTTTCTCTGTGCAGCTCTGGCTGTCCTGGAAATCACTCTGTACACCAGGCTGGCCTTGAACTCAGAGATCTACCTGCCTCTGCCTCCCAAATGCTGGAATTAAAGGCATGTGCCACCACTGCCTGGATCCTAAACAAGACGGCTTAGTTGTGTGGGCCCCCAGAGAGTCTTTTAGACTCTCAATCTCCTGAGCCCCCAGATAATCTTCTGGGCCCTCAGTCTCCCAGGTCCCCAGAGCTTTTCGAACCCCTAGACAATTTCTTGGAATCCTGGTCTCCCTAGTCCCCATCTCTCAGGTCCCCAGATAGTCTTCTGGACCTGTCAGCTCAGCACCAGTTTTCTTTTGTCTACAAGTTGGGGTGACTAGCTATATGGGAGCCAGAGCGGTAGAGAGGAGGGTCTCCTGTGCCACCTGCCATGGTCTGGCCCTACAGGTAGTGTGGAGCCCTCTTCTGTAGCTAGACAGACACCTGCCTTTCTCCCTTGTCCTTTGTCCTCTTGATGGGCCAGGACTCACTGTCTATTTTTGCTGCAGCCCATCAGCATGTTCAGAAGATGTGCCCTCTTTCCCTCAAGATATAGCAGACCTGACAGATGGCCTGTGTCTATGGATGTATGAGAGGACCCTGGGTTGGGTCATGGACACTGGGGCTCTGTAGATGAAATGTGCAGATAGTGTATGTCCTCACTTGGAGACCATGGAAGAAGGTGAAGAATTTCCAGGGTGGTAGTCATGTCTTCAATAAAGAGCCTGTTTACCCTTTGCACTCCATGGGAATCTGGGAACCTCTTTCTCACATTGGCCCCTTTGCCTTTAAGTCTTAACCGCATCACTAGCTGTGGCAGTGGTCTCTTTTCCCTGACAGACTCCCTCCCCCCAGCTCTGGAGAATGAATGTCTACAGGGTGGAGAATCAGCATGGTGGGGGTTGTTGGTGAATGTGGGTACCAGTTTGCTGTGTTTGTTTTTGCTCTTGTGATTGTTGGTTTTTATAAACTCCACACCTCCTGCTTCTATGCCCAGCTTATATTTCACATGGCCTTTTTAAACCTCATTTCATTTCAGAAGGTGTATTGGTTAGGGTTTCTAGTGCATGATAAAGCACCATGGCCAAATCAACTTGGAGAGGAAAGGGTTTATTTTGTCTTACAACTCTCAAGTCGCACTCTGTCACTGAGGGAAGTCAGAGCAGGGATGAAGTAGAGGCCATGGAGGAGTGTTTCTCACTGGCTTGCTCCTCATGTCTTGCTCAGCCCACTTTTTTATACAACTCAGGACCACCTGTCCAGGTTGTGTCACCACCCACAGTGAGCTGGTTCCTCCCACATCAATCACTAATAAAGAACATGCCCTACAGACATACTACAGGAAATCTGATAAGGGTGTTTTCTCAGTTGAGAGTCCCTCTCCTAAATATATCTATCTAGGTTTGTGTCAAGTTGACCAAAAAAACCATGATAGAAGGTAACACAGACATATCAGTGACTCCTGGGAAACTCTTCTGAGCTTCAGACCCTGCTCTAGGAGTGTGTGCTCTGGGATGGAAGCCACCTTCTCTAGCAATGGAGACTGTATGACAGCCCCATGGCTTCTTGTCTTTTCAGCTGTGAATAGTGGATGTTGCTGGTACTCACCATGGCTCATGGTCAGTGTGCCTCACTCTTCATGGGCCTAGAGTAGTACCTGCAGGGGCATGCTGGCTGAATGCCTCTTCTTCCATGTCCTTGAGTGGTGTGGCCTAGGTTTGGTGAGCAAGACTCTGAAGTGGAGCTCTGACACCTGTTCTTTATGCCGTCCCAGCCTCCCGGAGCTGACGATGTGTATATTATGCACCTGCCCAGTCTGCTGGCCCTGTGCCCATGCTGCAGTGCGGATCCCAGGGCTGTTCCTCCTACACCTCGTCCAGGAGTGGTCAACTGAAGTCACTGGCCAGCCTTCCCCACCTTGTATTGCCCTAGTCATGAACAGCAACCCCTTCCCTGCCTCATCTGTGTCCCATCTTGAATAGCACTCCTTCCTTGCCTTGCTGTTGCTGGGTATTGCGGGCAGGTGGAGGTGGAGTCAGTTCTGCTTGGTGTCCTGTGGCCCTGTTTCTCAGGGCTCAGGGAAGATAGGGACAGGCACCTAGGTGGGTGGAAAGCCTGGTCTTGGCCCGGGCTCTGTTGAGAGTGATCTGGGAGAAGACAGCACTACCTCCTGCTGGTCTTTTGGCTAGCTGATGACCTCCACTTTCTCACATCTGGAAGCATGTGTGTTCTGGAATTTTCTAGGGCAGGCAGGCTCTTCTGTATTTGAAGTGTGCAGTAGGCCCACTTTCCTTTTAGAGAGTACAAAGGAATAATAGTGGGAGCTGGAATGGGTCAGTGCTTAGGCCCTCTGTGTTTTATGTTACGTGTTCTGGCACAGGGCTCAGAGGGTAGGTATCCTTTGGTGACATGGCAGGCAGCTATTGATACTGCCTCTGGAGTTCTTTTTTTGAAGTTCTCAGTCTAGACCTTAGGTAACATTCTGAACTGGGTTTCAGTCCTTGCTAGATGAACTTGAGGGGTATGCTTGGTTCCTTTTGCAACTGAGTCTGGGAAAGACCAGAGTGACCCCTGGAGGCTGGAGTCCTTGTTGTTCTCAGGCCAGGCTGAGGCTGTTGCCAACTGTCTGGCTTTTGCCAACTCTGTGCCTCTTTCTCAGTTAAAAGTAACAAGGATTTTGTTTGGTTCATTCATACCCAGTGGATGTGTGTTTCCTGCTCTTCAACCTCAGAGGGCTGCTGGCCCAGAGTGAGGGAGGAAACAAGGGGCAGGAAGCTGGGGCTGTGACAAGGTTGAGGCCATCCTGTCACGTGCACTGCCTTTGGCTGCTCCCAGAAGACCAGAACTTCCCTTTGCCCTCATCTGGCTGAACTATGGGGGAAAACACTGGCTGACCGGATAACTCTTAAGGTCCTGTGAAGAACCTTGTTGAGTCAGCTTTTAACTTCCCATCTGCTGGAAACAGTTTTGGATCAGAAGTGAAAGACAGACCCGTTTCCTGGTCGGACCCTGCTGTGGCCATGCATGCCAGCCATTATCAGCGCTCTTTTACTGGCTGTCCTGGGCACTGGCAAGGCTCAGAGCCCTTGTCCCTTCCTTTCTCAGAGTGCCATTCTTGCAAAGATCCTGTTCTGTTCTATAAATCACAGTCAAAGGACAGATATGAAACCCTCAGCAGTGTCCGTGTGGTGCAGGGCATGAGTTCAGCGTTCTGGGGCAGGGGTTGAACCTCCTGGATCCCTCTTGAGTTCTCCCTCTTCCCCTGCCCTAAGTGGGGCTACCTCTGCTGTATTGGTACTGCTCCAAGCAGGCCTGCTCATCGCTGTTGTGGGCAGAGAACACTACTTTATAGGGTCCTGGATCCTCCCCTCTTAAATTTTCATATGAAACGACAACGAACCCCTGCCCATGTTTCCCTTCTTCCCTTGCTTTGTCCTTGTTTCACGTTGTTTCATTTGAGGCTGGTAGGTCTAAAGAAAGTCGAGGGATCGGAGTTTTAAAGTATTTCCTTATCCATGAAACTTGTAGCAAATGGATGCTTGTCAAACTGCCGTTCACAGCTTTCCTGGGCAGCCTTTTTTCTCACCATTGGATTGAGCTTTCTTCTCTTGCCTTTCCTAGCGTTCCATGCCTACGGCAAGGCGGGGAAGATGCTGGTGGAGACCAGGTAAGTGGCACAGCCTTGCTGGGTCCCACCCTTCTTCCTGCAGCAGTGGAGGAGCTGATGCCTGGTGGGAATGAACGATGCATTTCACGTGTGGATTGGCTGATAACGCCTACTATGCTTCTGAAGAGTTACTTAGAGAATAGCTGGAAGTCGGTTTATTGTACCCTTAAAATGACGGTTGTCAAAGCTGAAAGCCTGTTTAAGTCTTGCTGAGACTTAGTACATGAGAATGGGGAACTTGGGGAGCACAGCAAATAGTTCCCTTGGACAGTTAATCTCAGTGCTGTTCTTTAGATGGTCCCCAATTCTACTGCAGAAGGGATGCACTAAACCAAAATGTCACATTGTTGTCATTGAAAGTAAAATTTTATGAGTTGAAAAAATTGTTGGGAATTACACTTTTAGGCTTTTAAATCAGGGAATTGTGAAAACAGAAGAAAACATTCTTTGGAAGCAGTTGATTATTCCTTTAACTTGTCTAACATTACTGTGAGTTTTTGTTGCACCTGAATTTCTGAAGCTCCTGTGGAAGGAAGATATGCTACCCCACAGAGAATAGTTAAGTGTGGCTCAGTATTCACCCCAAGTGCAATGGAGAGAGCCCCAAACATCTAGTCCTATGAGTGTGGACATAGAAAACTGTCTGTCTCTCCGCCAGTTTTCTGGCAATGCTGTGTCGGCACAGCCCAGGGACTGGATCTGGTCCTGGGTGTCAGACTGGGGGTGCCTGGGTCGTGATTCTCGCAAAGGTGCCATGTTCTAATCACAAAGCAGCACTTTCTTTCAAATCTGATTCCAAAGCCCTGTGTCCGTCTGTCTTCACAGCATGATTGGGCTGATGCTGGGGACCTGCATTGCCTTCTACGTCGTGATTGGTGACTTGGGCTCCAACTTCTTTGCCCCGCTGGTTGGATTACGGGTAAGGCTCTGTTAGCTGTCTGGTCTGTTGTAATGCTTGTGTTGCCGCCCGGTGTCTCCTCTCCTAAAGCCAGCTGAGACTAGTGTCCTTGGCCCAGAGAAGCTTCCCATGCTTGCCAGCCACTCAGGTTCCCTTGGATTTCAGGGACTTTGCTGGGGTAGTGTCTGAGAGATACCAGGAGAGGGAGAGCAGGCTGTGATACAGCCTGCATTGTGAGGGGCAGGAAGGAGGAGGGCACGACGCGTCACACCATTGTGCAGCACGCAGGCCTCAGCCTTCCAGTGCTGCTCATCAACAGGCAGAAGAGGCCTCAGTGGTGCCGTGCCTGCTTTTGACCAGTAATTTTGCTTTCCATCTCTCGCTCTTCCTGTGGGTTCACAGAGCTGTGGGTCAGTCCCTCACACAGGTTCTTGGGTCATTTCTCAAAACTTACTGACTGGTGCCAGGGTCAGGCATCTTACCTGCAGTTCTGAGAGACTTGCAGGACAGCATTGGCCTCTGCACCTTGTGAGGGCTTCCCACGCAGTGAGCCGGTGTGCACAGAGCCTGTCTGTCCTCTTCCTCCATGGTGTCCAGTGCACCCATGCTCAGCAGGGTGGGCTGCTGTAGGTGTGCAGGTACCTGCAGCTGGGCAGTAGACGCTCTTGGCCTCCAGCTGTGCTGTCAGCTGTGAAGAAGGTCCAGGAAGTCAGAGTGCTGCTGGCTGCAGCTGAGTTAGATGGTAGACAGCCCCAGACCTTCGCTTGCTCCTCGATGCTAGTCTGGAGTTCTGTGATGAATTTTCTGGATCAGAATTTCCTTCTGCAGCAGAGTTGGCTCTGAGTCGTATGGAGAAGTGGTGGCTCCTCCTACCAGCCCCCGGCACTAGCTGTGCGGGTATGCCAGAGCAGGGTATGCCAGAGCAGGACGGTTCCTACCCGCTCTTGTCACATTCCTTCCCTGCTTAAAGGGGGTAGCTGACCTTTTTGTCCTGACTAGTCTCATTGTGGAGCCTGGCTGGGCCACACCGGGGCCAGAGGTGTTTAGTACTTTGATCCACGTGGCACAGCTGCTGAGAGGGGAGCTTTCAGAGTGAGCACGCCAGGCTTGACCCCGCCTCCTGCTGTTTTAAGCCTCAAGGTGCTCCCCAGCCTGCTGCGACTCCTGTCCTGGCAACACTGGTAAGCTGAGCCTTGGCAGTAGTACTCAGGGCTGCAGACCGTGAGGATTCTGCTGGTTCCCTTTCAGGTGACCAACAGCTTGCGTGTGTTCCTGCTCTTCGCCGTGTCCCTGTGCATCGTGCTCCCACTCAGCCTGCAGAGGAACATGATGGCCTCCATCCAGTCCTTCAGTGCCATGGCACTCCTCTTCTACACCGTCTTCATGTTTGTGGTGAGTGCCACATGCACGGTTAAAGGGGTTGTTTGTGGTTTAGTCCTTCCCATAACCATAAATGTCCATGCCTGAGTCTGGTGTAGCCATTAGCTACCTTGGGGGGGTTAGGGGAAGGTGGCTCTGAGTCTTACAACTGTGGTTGAGTGTCTGTAATGTCATGAAGGCCATGTGTGTGTCTGACTAGTGGGTATCAGACGTCTGACAGTTGAATAGCAGGATGAGGGACTGACCATCATCCCTTTACCAAGGCTCTAGAAAAAGCAAACATAGCAGCTGTGTGTTTTGTGGGAAGGTCTTTCATGTGGAGTGTGTGACCAGGTTCATGGTGCCACCATGGTGACACTTGTCATTTTTGGTGCCAGTTGTCATTTTCTAAAAGCGTTTGGAGGTTAGTCTAGAAGATGAGGTGTGGGGACTTCCGAGAGGGTCCTCACCCTTCGCTGCCTGAGCCTGCTGAACCCTTGGAATCACTTTCACTGTCTAGGGAAGAAGTGACCCCTCCTGAGAGCAGGGCCAGGTGTCCTTGCAGGAGGTTGTACAGTCTGGGCTGCAGGTTTCTCACTGTAGCCATGGTCTGTCAGTGCCCCGCCAGTGCCCCTCAGCTCTCTGAGGACCAGCCCAGTGACAGTTAACTCCTTACTCAGGTAGCCACATCCTCAGTGGCTGAGCTGCTGAAAGATGACTATGTCTGCCTGGGCCAGGGTGAGGCAAGGAAGGACATGCCATATCAAGGGGACTGACTGCATTCTGTAATTTGAGACAGGCATCAGGGCTGGGATGGTGAGTGAGGTTTTGCTTCTGTCTCCACTAAGGGGCCCCTATATAGGAGCTGCTCCATCCTGTGTAGAAAACCGCCTGCAGCCGGGTATACCCCTCAGTAGTGTTCAGGCAGCTTCAGGTATGGACTGAGTATGAGCCAGGGTCCAGGCTGTAGGAAGGAGTAAGCCACCTTTGATGTAGAGAAGAACTGCATGTCTCCTCTACCTCCTCTGTGGCAAGGTGTCTAGTGGTCCACGCTGCACACTGACTCCTGACCCTTGCCCTGCTCTCTCCCGGTCCAGATTGTGCTGTCCTCCCTTAAGCACGGCCTCTTCAGTGGGCAGTGGCTGCAGCGAGTCAGTTACATCCGCTGGGAGGGCATTTTCCGCTGCGTCCCCATCTTCGGCATGTCCTTTGCCTGCCAGTCGTAAGTACTCCTGAGGTGGCAGGGGGATGGAGTGGGGCTGAGGGTGTAGAGGGGTGGGGATGAGAGTCCTGCTTTTCTCGGTTCTTGAGTTGCTTGTTCCTGGCCACTGAGGAATGATGGCTTGTTCTAGTACGGCTGTTCCCTCTAGGATGAGGGGCTAGATCTCTTGTAACTGGGAAGTGAACTATTGCTGGGACTGACTGGCAAGGGCACCTAGTTTCCCAGATCCCATGAGAGGAGAGTTGGCTGTGGGGTGCAGCAGCAACCCAGCCATCTGATTGTGCAGAGTCCTGAGTGTTTTGCCAGAATGTAGCTGTTCTGAGAATATTTAAAAAGAAGTTGCACAAACATTGACTTCAGGCTGCTGCTGAGATGCCTCTGAGGCTTGTGTGTGCAGGCGGGCTCTCTGGCGTGCGGGGCTCTGTGAACACAGAACGGGCTGCTCCCCCTTCACAGCAGCGCTACCTTCTCCATCAGGGTGGCAGGAGCTTGTGATGCACGCCCGGGTGGGAACAGTAAGCGTAAACCTGACATCAATGGGAAAAGACCATCAGCATGTGTGTGAGGGGGGCTGGCAGAGAAGCCCCCCTCCTGTGGTGTCAGTGGGCATGTATTGTGCCAATCGTAAACTAGTGTGACAGAAGATTTGCTCACACTGCTGTGTTTACACCCACATGCGAGTTCCAAATTGTCGTTTCCCACTTACCGGCTCCTCTTGGCAGCTCTGTCTCCGCCAGAACGTGCTCCAGCCTCGCTGTTTAATGTCCCCATTATCGTCGGTGACAGAAGTTACATTCTTGTGCGGCGGCGTACCTAGTTACCGTTTGTCCTTTCTGCGTGCGCGTTTGCTTTTTAAAAAACAAGCCTGTGGTTGGGCTTCTTTGGCAGTAGCCGCCTGCAGGCAGTTCACCTCTGTGGGTCGGTTCTTAGTGCAAGTTACTGTTCCTGGAGGGTGGAAGCATGCCCCTGTCTAAGTGCTGGGTTCATCTCCCTTCCATGAAGACCTGGGGGCCGTAAATGTGCCCTCTTCTCCTGGGTTGGTCACATATTGTCCCCAGGCTGTGAGCATGCAGTGTTTGCCAGGTGAGTGGCCTGTCCCTGCTGGGATGGCAGCCAGCCCCTTACTTGGTGCCTGGAGTAGTTCTTGCTGTGATCGTCTGGCCCCTTCGATCTCACTTCGTGGTAGATAGATCTTGTGTTATACAGAACTGTCATCCTGGTCCGGAGAAATGGCCACATGGCACATAGAGGGCCTCGGTAGAAGAGCGTGCACCTGGAGAGCTCACTCTCAGGAGCTGTGTGATGCCACAGGGCTGCTCTCTGAAGTGGGGGCCAGGTGGGAGGGCAGGTGGGACTGCGTGGAAGCCTATGGAGTCAGCTTTTCCACTGTGTCCAGGCACATCCCGCCTCTTCACAGCACTCGCAGCGCCTGTGTGCGCATGTGTATCTGGTTCAAGTTCCCTTCCAGGTGGGCCCTGCTTTGACTAGAGTCCTGGTCAGCCTGAGAAGCTGTTGCCGGCCTCAGAGCTGAGCCCAGGGCTCATGCTAGCTTCCCTTCAGCGTCCCTGAGGCTGTGCAGGGTGTGGCTGACTCCTCTGGTGAGAATGGGGTGGACAGGGTTGCGGTTTTGCCTTGCCAGCCCTCCCAGTATCGGTGCCTGCTTTTTGATCCAAGTAGTGTGTCTCTTTGTTTTCCTTGAACTTTTTAAAGACATTTTTGTGCATAGCTCCACTGATCCTTGTGCTGATCTGTTTATTGGTTGCTGATTTCCAGCATGTACGTGTGTGTGGTTACACACACACATACACACACACACACACACACACACACACACACACACACACACACACACACACACACCCATTTGCCTGGTTGTTCCTAGTCTGGCTTCCTTAGTGCCTTTGATTTTGTCCTGGAAGTTATAGCCACCTGGGAAGTACTTAAGGGTGACTACCAGGTTCCCCTCCTGTTCTAGCTTAGTTCTTTAACTCATGTTCTAATCTGAACCATCTCAATTGCAATGTGGGGGACCAGCCCCCACACTTATTTACCCCAGGAACTCTTGAAGAATGAGGGATAAGAGACTTAGTTAGAAATAGAGAGAAGAGAAACAGAGAAAACGCAGGATAGACTCGGGTGGGCCTGGATCCTTATCCACCGGCCCAGAGCTTTATTCCAAAGGCCTATTTACAACGATGCTAAGGGGTGGAGCAAAGGACCTCCCCCTGCTAGTTACAGTCACCTGGTGCCCAGGCCCTGCATACTCTCCTCAGTCGGGTTTTCTGTCCCAAGTCCTCAGACATGCTGTTTGCAGAGCACCTTCGTGAGGTTGTCATATCTCTGTCCTGACAGTGACTTGGGTCCCTCCCCCATGTCCAGCAGCAGCACACTCGTGGCACCAGACCTAGGACAGAAGCCAGTTTTCTCATCACTGGAGAGAGGCTGCGAGTCAGGAAATGTGCGCAGGCTGTCTCCTTGTCTGTCCTCACCGCCGTGTCTGTTGACGGTGCTGAGGGGGCTGCAGCCAGCCAGCCTGTGTTGTTGAACTTGCCGTCCCTGGCAGTGGTGCTGCTTGGCTTCCTGTTGGCTTCTTCCTCAGACCTGTTTTCATTCCCTGCCCAATCACACCTGCACTCCCACAGCATGGTGCTAGTTGTGAAGGGATCTACATGGAACCTATCAGGGTAGGTTTGTGGGTCTCATGGTGCTGCCATCTGTGGTGTCACCCAGCTGCTGTCCTGGGCACCATGAATCATGGTCTGTGGAGAATGGTCTGGGAAAGAAGTGCCAGGGGTTTGTTGCCTGGGCCATTTTGGTAGAGGTTCTAGGAGTTGTCAGGAGGGGTGGGGAAGGCTCTGGAGTTTGCTTGTCTAGAGTCTGTGTGACTCGATTGTCTTTACACAGCCAGGTCCTGCCTACCTATGACAGCCTGGACGAGCCATCGGTGAAGACCATGAGTTCCATATTTGCCTCCTCCCTCAACGTGGTCACTGCCTTCTATGTCATGGTAGGAGCCGCCCACACCTCCTCCTTGATGCACACACAGCACAGCACAGCACAGCACAGCACAGCACACTGCTTCTTGCACTCAGGACCCCGTGTTACCTTTTCCATGCCAGTGTCTGTAGGTGCACTGTGTTCACGGTGACCCAGAGCAGCTCAGTTCCTCAGCCCCAGGCAGTCCAGGCCTGGGCACCTGGGAGCTGCTTCTGCCCTGGACCATGTTGCATCTTCTTCCTGTTTTTTTTTTTGTTTTGTTTTGTTTTTCGAGACAGGGTTTCTCTGTGTAGCTTTGCGCCTTTCCTGGAACTCACTTGGTAGCCCAGGCTGGCCTCGAACTCACAGAGATCCGCCTGGCTCTGCCTCCCGAATGCTGGGATTAAAGGCGTGCGCCACCACCGCCCGGCTTTCTTCCTGTTTTTTTAAGACAGGGTCTTACTTAGTATTCCTGACTGATCTCAAACTTGGGGCGATCCTCCTGCTTTTGCCTCCCAAGTTCTGGGATTGTGGGTGAGCACCACAATGCCCAGTTTTGTGAACATTATCTAGTCTTAAGAGCTCAGGCATCTTGACCAGGGCTGGTTCCAGATTGCTTTAACTGGGGGGCCTGCTTTCCCCTCTCCATGGCCATTGTTAATTCTCTACAGAGGAGCATTCCAATTAAAAAGAAATGAGGGTGCACGAGATGCCAGTGTGAGAGAATATCCCAATTCACAAACATTAGAAACGTTTTTCAGTAGTTTCTCATCCCCCATCCCCTTAAGACAGGCTTTCTCTGTGTAGGCCTGGCTGCCCTGAAACTCGCTCTGTAGACCAGGCTGGCCTTGAACTTAGATCCACCTGCCTCTGCCTCCTGAGTGCTGAGATTAAAAGCATGCGCCACCACTGCCTGGCTCTTCTTATTAATATACTTGCTGTTTTCTTCCTTCCTTCCCTTCCCTTCCCTTCCCATCCTTTCCCTCCCCTTTCCTCCTTCCCTCTCTTCCCCCTTTCTCTCTTTCCCTATTTATTTATTTGTTTGTTTGTTTGTTTGAGACAGGTTCTCATTGTGTAGCCAAAGCTGGCCTGAAGCTCACATGTAGCTTAGGCCTTGAACTCAGATCCTCCTGCCTCCTCCTAAGAGCTGGGATTATACCACATCTGGCTTCTGTTTGTTGTCTTTAAGAATATAGAGCTAGGGCTGAAGAGATGGCTCAAGAGGTTAAGAGCACTGACTGTTCTTCCAGAGGTCCTGAGTTCAATTCCCAGCAACCACATGGTGGCTCACAGCCATCTATAATGAGATCTGGTGCCCTCTTTTGGCATTCAGGCATACATATAGGCAGACCACTGTATACATAATGAATAAATAAATAAGTCTTAAAAAAAAAAAGAATACAGAGCTAGACAAGCAGCCTAGTTGGGAGAGAGCGTGCCTTGTATACGTGACTCCCTGGGTTTGAGCCCCAGAACCGTGGAGGGGACAGATGCTGTCTGAAGAGGATGTGAATGTGCTGGGGTTGCAGCTCGGCTCCTGCCCTTGCCTGTGGCATCAGTCTTCAACGTGGTCATTGGAGCATCATCCAGTCCTGGAGCTTCCTCCATCCTCTTCGCCTGCGGCTATTTGACTGGCTGTATTTTATTTCAGTTTGGTTTTTGAGGCAGGGTCACACTGTGTGGCCTAGTTTGGCCTGGAACTCTCTCCATCCTCCTGTCTCTGCCTCCCGAAAGCTGGAATCACAGGCCTGTGCCCTACACCCAGCTCCTGATTAACAGTGGCTCCTCTGAGCCCGGCTCCGGTGGTGACTCCTTTTAATCCAGCACTCGGGAGGATCTCCATAAGTTCAAGGCCAGCCTGGTCTACAGAGTGAGTTCCAGGACAGCCAGGGCTACACAGAGAGACCCTGTCTCAAAAAACCAAAAAGAAAAAAAAAGGCTCCTCTGAAAGGCTTGGAGGCATTCTAGAACCTTCCTTTCCATATTGGCAACTCCATTTTCTTGCCTCATTTATAGTTCTGTTGAAGTTACACTTGAACATTTCTTGATAGCCTTTGGTTATCAAGACTTTTATGCCTGAGGAGATGAGGAGGGCTTTTGTTTTTGGGTGGGTGGGTTTTGTGCCAGCTTCCTTGGAGGTGCTCTGAGGCCAATCTGGGACAAAGACAGGCAGTCAGCACAGACTGACAGACAGCTGACCGGCCACATTGCTCTTTGTCCTCCTCTGACAGGTGGGGTTTTTTGGCTATGTAAGCTTCACTGATGCCACTGCCGGCAACGTGCTGATACACTTCCCCTCCAACCTGGTGACAGAGATGATCCGAGTGGGCTTTGTCATGTCCGTGGCTGTGGGCTTCCCCATGATGATTCTGCCATGCAGACAGGCCTTGAACACACTGCTGTTTGAGCAACAGGTATGATCTTTCATTCTCTTGGACTAGCTCTGTTTCCATGACAGTGGTAGGTGGGGCTTTTCCTAGTTAACAATAAACAGTGTGTGTATATATGTGTGTGGGGTGGGGTGTGTGTGTGTGTGTGTGTGTGTGTGTGTGTGTGTGTGTGTGTGTGTGAAGTCAGAGAACAACGTTTAGGAGTTGATTCCCTTCTGTTGTGGGTCCAGGGGTTGTCTGGCTTGTGTGGCACGTGCTTTTGCCTGCTGAGCCATCTTGCTGACCCAAACAAATTTCAAGTGAACTGAAGTCTTGGGTTATTTTGAGGGGAGTCTGCCGTGTTTTCCAGGCTGGCCGTGAACTCAGGATTCTCTCTCCTCTCTCTCCCAGCACCACTCTCTGGGTGTTAGGATCACAGGTGTGTGCCACAATACCCAGCTGAAATGAAGTGGTTTTTGTCATTGTTTGTAATTTAAATTTTTTCTTTATTTAGTGTGGTAGTGGGGCTCTTGTGCGAATGGAGGTCAGAGGAAACTGGTGGGGTCCAGTTCTGTCCCATCACCGTGTGGGTTCCGGGATCAAACTCAGGTTGTCAGGCTTGGTGACAAGTACCTTTACCTAATGAGCCTTTCTTGCTGGCCCCGGCAGGAAGTTTTTAATAGAGATCATCCGTCCTTCCTTTCCTCTTCTTTCCTTTGTTGCTAGAGATTGAACCTAAGGCCTTGTGTATGCTAAAGCACACCCACTGCTCTTGAGCTGCATGTACTCCCAGCCCCCTGACTAGGCATGCCTTGCATTAACCTAAAGAACACAGAAGAGTGCCCTTTGGGCCATGCCAGCTGTGTAGGCAACTTCGTTCATCTGTGGGATTTGCCAGCATTGATGCTTGCAACCTCAAGTCAGAGAGATGGTGAGACATGAGGGCTGCTGTGGAAGCGGTCCTGGGGAGGCTGTAGCAGGGGCACAAATTCACTGGCCAACATTGATCACAACTGGAATCATGGGATAGGCTTGTGCTGCTTCTGTACTTTGTAGTGACTTCAGTATAGTGTGTTGGTAGAGCCCGTGTGTGTGTGTGTGTGTGTGTGTGTGTGTGTGTGCGCGTGCGTGCGCGCGCACGCGCAACTTTTTAAAATAATATATTTAAATTTATTTTATGTGCATTGGTGTGAAAATGTCAGATCCCCTGGAACTGGAGTTAACAGGCAGTTGTGAGATATCGTGTATATGGGTGCTGGGAATTGAACCCAGGTCCTCTGGAAAGAGCAGCCAGTGCTCTTAACCGCTGAGCCATCTCTCCAGATCCCCACAAGAAATTTTAAGATACAGGGATTGAAACTCAAAAGCTGTCTGGTCCTTGCTTGCCATTGCCCTGGGTTGCCTCATATCTATTGCGCTTCTCCATCTCAGCTTTCTTTCCACCCTTGTTCACAGGGCACCCTCTCCTGAGTCTGGTAAGATAGACCCACTGTCCAGGCTGTTTTCTGTGATGACTGGCCTTCGCTATCTAGACCAAGATTCTTTGGCTCCAATGCCTGACATCTTAGCACCTGGTTTGTCTGATCAGCCAGGACACCTAGTGGCCGGAAATACAAGGTCACAAGCACTTGGAGTAAGGGAGACAGCAGTGGTCCCAGAGTGTCGACTCAGGAGAAACAGCTGGCACAGCTGCTCCCTGTCTGCCCAGTCATGGCAGTGCTGTTGTTTGTGTCTCTTTCCTATGGACTCTGCTGCCAGTGACAGTAGAGGCCCAGTGACAGAGGCTGAGTGCCTCTCACAGGCTAGCTCTTGGTCTCTCTCTGCTAGTGTTTATGTACCTGGATGCCATGCAAAGTAGGATTTTGGACTTTGTCCCTTGAGGGGTGTCTTAGCATTTCTATTGTGAAAAGACACTGTGACCACAGCAGCCCACCCACCCCCAGACAGGGTTTCTCTGTGTAGCTTTGGAGTCTGTCCTGGACCAGGCTGGCCTTGAACTCACAGAGATTCACCTGCCTCTGCCTCCCTAGCACTTAGATTAAAGGCATGCGTCACCACCGCCCGACTATGGCAGTTCTTATAAAGGAAAACATTTAATTGAGGTGGTGGCTTTGAAACTGTAGTTTCAAAGGTTCAGTCCATTATCATCATGGTGGAGAGCATGGTGATGTGCAGGCAGACATGATGCTGGCTACATCTTGATCAGAAGGCAGCAGGAAGTGGTCTGAGACACTGGGCAATATCTTGAAATAGGAAACCTCAAAGCCCACCCCCACAGTGACACACTTCTTCCAACAAGGCCACACCTACTCCAACAAAGCCACACCTCCTAATAGTGTCACTCCCTATGAGCTTATGGGGACTGGTTACATTCAAACTGCCACAAGGGGCAAAGATGAGACCAGCTCTGTGGCCAGAGGTTCACCCTCCTCCACCCTGGTTCATGCTGTACCACCTCCACTTTGTGGGTTGCTAAAACCACCCCTCACTGCTTCTTGTGAGCTTGGTGTGTCCATGTGCTTCAGACTGAAGCAGTGTTAGTGCTTTTTGCATAATGTCCCCCCTCTTCTGCAAAGTGGTTTTTTTTTTTTTTTTTGTTATGTTGTTGTTGTGTTTTTCAGATAGGGTCTTACTATGTAACTTTAGTTGGTCTGGCCTTTGCTATCTCGACCAAGCTGGTCTTGAACTCGCAGAGACCTGCCTGCCTCTGTTTCCCAAGTGCTAGCATCTAACTCTTTTGTAAAGTTAAACATCGATAATAGAACAAAGAGAAGTATTAGAAAAGTTTACCACCAAGTGATAATGATGCACGCCTTTAATTCCAGTACTTGGGAGGCAGAGGCAGGGGGTTTTCTGAGTTTGAGGCCAGCCTGGTCTACATAGTGAGATCCAAGACAGCCAGGGCTACAAGAGAAACTCTGTCTCGGAAAAACCAAAAAGAAAGAGAAAGAAAGTTAGCTTACCTGCTTCTTGTTTACATGCATGTGGTCACATCCCCATATTTGTGTCTGTTTACAGTGATTTTCCCTTCCCTTTCCTCTGTTTCCAGTAGATTGACTGGGGGCCTGTATGTGCATCCATGGAAACCCACAGCATCTCTGCTCTTGCTCATCTGCTCTTGTAGACGTTCTTCTGTTGATGGCTTTTCTGCCTGTCTGCACACAGCTTCCCACTTCCTCCTTTAGATAATTTCTTGGTCAACTTCCAGGGCTGTGACTGGGATTCCTGGGTTATGGACAAACTGTCATCCCTATTCAACAAAAGATTTCAGCTCCAGCTACCTCAGTCTATCTTGCGTTAGTGTCCATTGTGAAAATAGCTGCTTTGAAATTCTAGTTCTGGAAGGTTCCGTTGTTCCTAACCCAGGAATGATCATTATGGTCAACCTTGCTGTGTGCCAGTTTACAGGAGGGTCAGCAGCTTGAGGAGGAGATACTTCTGTTGTCAGAGAGGAGACGGATTTGAACTGGGCTGTGTCGGACTCTTAGGCATGTAGAGTGTGGGGCTCACCTCCTCTTGTGCTGCTACACCTGTGATGAGTGTCCTGTGTGCCAGGTGGGGTGGGGTGCTGGGCTATGCCACCTCAAATCCTTCTCCACTTTCCTCCTTCCTGGACTTTGAAATTGTTAAGTGCTCACCATGGATCTGTTGGGAATGGCGATAACAACCAAGCGCATGCGTGTGCGTGAATGCATGTATGTGTACATGTGTGTATGTAGGGCTTCAGCACGTAATCTGAAGCTGCACACTGAGGAGAAGCTGACTCACTTCACAGGGCTGTCCCTCTGGAGCCTCTGTCTACTCTGCTGTCTGGTTTGTGTGTCTTTTTAAGTCTCTGTTTTGTCTTTGCCCCAAGAGCAAATATGAAAATGAAGGGCATAATACTAACATTTCAAAACAAAGTTGTAAGCTGTCCAGCCCACACCTGGAGGGAAGCTTACAGCTTCTTGGCCTTCTGCAGGCTTCCATTAAAGCTGCTCAGCCAAATCTGATTATGCTGCAACATTCACCGGCCAGGGGAGCTCCCGCCTGGACCCATGCAGAGATAGGCTTGGCTGGCAGAGCCCCATGTGGCCTTGTGCCACTGGAAAGTAGTCATTTCAAAACTGGTTGTTTTTGTTTTTTTTCATGTAGCAAAAAGATGGAACCTTTGCTGCAGGAGGCTACATGCCCCCACTCCGGTTTAAAGTCCTTACCCTCTCGGTGGTGTTTGGAACCATGGTCGGTGGAATCTTGATCCCCAATGGTAAGGTGGGCAGCCTCTGCTGCCTCTTTTCTGCCCTTAGTTGTCCTCCATTCTTCCTGTTGCATGGGGGACCCAGGGATGTCCCTAGCCCATGCTTAGCATTTAGCTGAGAGTACTCCCAAAGTCTCATGCCATTTTCTCTGGTATCCTAAAAACTGCCTAAAAGTTCAAGGTCATACCCATTCCTCAGCAGACCTGCTGTCGGCTTGCTATCACCACACACAGGAGTAAACGGCTTTAGCCAGCCAACACATTGTAGCCTTTTCCACACATACCTTAGGACAAAGCACTAGGTTACTTGACAAGTGATGATAGAGTGAACTAGGCCACATGGAGCCAACATCTGATTTTGGTAGGAAACCCCCTGTGCTTGGCCACTTATTTGTTTATCTATCTGTCTACTTATTTACTTACTGGGTCTTTGAGACAGGGTTTCTCTGTGTAGCCCTGGTTATCCTGAACTCACTATGTAGACCAGGCTAGCTTCAAACTCGAAGATCTGCCTGCCTCTACATCACCACCTGGTTTGTGCTTGGCCATTTAAAGATGAGCTGTCAGAATTTCCCAGGCTGCTCTGCTCTGACACATCTTAGTATATGAGGAGGAGGAGAAAAGTGGAGGTGGTAGTGGAGCCCCTTGGGTATAGTGGATGTCTGCTCACTGGCACTCAGGCGGCCTTACAGTGGCCCTGTGTGCCCTTATGCCAGGTGAGCACAGTCTCCCAGTCACACCTTGCTGTCTATCTGTTTGTAGTGGAAACCATCCTTGGCCTCACAGGGGCGACGATGGGGAGCCTCATCTGCTTCATCTGCCCGGCTCTGATCTATAAGAAAGCCCACAAGAATGCTCCCTCAGCCCAGGTGAGTGTGTCCCTCCCCTAGGCCATATGCACTTATCCTCTGGATGAAGGTGAGTGTTGTCCACCACATGGCCTGACCCTTGGCCAGTCACTCTAGTCAGGGAGAAGTAGCAGAATACACTCAGCGCCCCAGGGTCTTTAGACAGGTTCTGTCCACTCATTTTCAGTGTTTTATCACAAGGAATACTTGGTCAAGGAGATGTGAGAAGTGGGCCAAACAGGTGGCTTAGTCTCTGCCCCTGTGTATCAGGACTCTCCCCAGAGAGGACGATTACTCTTCCTTACCTAAGCACAAAACACTGACGTGTGTTCATACTGTGACTGTCTACCCTCCCCTAGATACTCCCACAGAGAACACCATTGCTGGATTAGCGGGATGTCCCAGGAAGATAATGTATGTGCACATGCGTGGGCATGCTCCAGCTTCTTTGTTTTGTTTTGTTTTGTTTTTTTGGTAATGCAGCTTCTTGCTATCTTTGCTTAACATCCATAGCAGGTTGCTCCTCGACCACAGGTGCAAGCATCCGGTACTGCCTTCTGTTTTAGCTGATTCCTGGGAGTTCACTACGGGGAAATTCCATAATCCTAGTCTCCCACGAAGTCAGCCCCAGCCTTTTGCTATTGCAGCCCACAGGTGTTTCCATATACATGAGACTGTGTCTATAGAAAGTATTCCAGAAATGAGATTCCTGGTCAGAATGGGAGCCTTTCACCTTGTGCCTGGTGAGGTCACGGCTCCAAGGTGTGTCTGTCACCATGCCAACATTTTCATCTGTACTTTTGGCCTCCTCAGAGTGAGTGGAAAGGTTGTTTCAAAGGCACAAATGCCATTTAATGTTTTTTCTCTGTGAACTGCCTGTGTCTTTGCTTCCTTTTTAGGGGATTGTTGAATGTTTCCTTACTGATGCACACCGGTAGATGTTTAAGTGTACCCCACTTGACAGTTCACACCTGTTTGTAACTCCCGTTCCAGGGGAACCGACACCCTCATATAGACATACATATAGGCAGAACCACCAAAGAACATAAAATATAAATAAATTATATATTAAAAGAAGAAGAAATAAAGGGTGGCCTTGGACAGTGGCTTAGTGGATAAAGCACTTGTTCTAGTATGAGGCTTGGAGCTTGGGTTCCCAGAATCCATAGAAAAGCTGGGTGGGCATGGTGGCCAGCTGGTAATCACAGCACTTGGGCGGCAGAGGCGGTATCGCGGGAGCAAACTGGGCAGCTAGACTAGTTGGGTCGGCAAGCTCCAGGCTCAGTGAGAGACCCCGCCTCAATAAAGTAGAGACCCCGCCTCAATAAAGTAGAGACCCTGCCTCAATAAAGTAGAGAGCAACTGAGGCGGACACCTACCAACAACTTTAGGCCTCCACGTGCACATATGCATACACACACACTGAAAAAAGTACAATATGTATGTAGAAAAACACAGTCCTTACATACAACTTGATATATTTTTGCAGTGTGACTCTAGCCAAAACCGCCATCCAGGACAAAGTGAATATCTTGCCACCCCAGAGCGCCCTGTGAGCCCCTCCAATCATCTAACCCTGCATCTCAAAGGTTACTGTTGTCTCTTGGTGGCTTCAGCGTGATGGAGTGGGGTCTCATGCCTGTCCTGTCTGGTGCTTAAAGTCACTGCATGAGGACTTTGCACTTGTTCACTTGTTCCACGTTAACCTGCTGTGTTGGCGAGGGTTATCCAAAGAAACAGAACTGATAGGATAATATATATGTAATATATATGTAATATGTATAGTCAAAGGGAGCTTATTAGAATGGCTTACAGGCTGTTGGCTGGGGAGTCCAGCAATGACTGTCTTGACTGTGGAAAATCCAAGGATCTGGCGGTTGTTCTGTCCACGAGGATGGGTGTCTCAGCAGTCCCAGTCTGGTGCTGGAGTCCTGAGGAGTCCTGGAGAGCTGCTGGTCTTCAGTCTTTGTTCGAATTCCAAAGAAGTGGGTTCTGATACTGGTGAAGGAATGCCAAAGCAATAGATGGACAGATGGACTTGCCATCAGGGTGAGGGCAAGTAGGCAAAAGGCAAAGGTTTTTGTGTGTCCTTCTGTGTGGGCCACCAGAAGGTGTGGTACAGATTAGGGTGGGTCTTTGCTTCAAATCTGATTAAGAAAATTTCTCACAGGAATGCACAGAAGCTTAAGTTTCAGTTGATTCCAGATGTAGTCAAGCTAACAACCAAGATCGGCCATCGCACCTACTCCCTGTGGTGTGACAGATCATGTCTAGTCCAATACTGATGTTCGGATGTTCCTTTAGGTGCCCACGAGTGAGCAGCTCTGTCATTCCATGCTTTCCAGGAGGCACTTGGCTCCTGGGGTGTCATAGTCAGCTTTTGTAGATTCTGCATGTTTTGGGGTTTAAACAGTGGTGCCTCTAGTTGTAGCATTAAGAGTGTCCTCAGACTTCACATGTACCATCCATCCCTTTTAAAAATTGCAACTGCCAGTTGGGCTGTGGTGGCGCACGCCTTTAATCCCAGCACTTGGGAGGCAGAGGCAGGCAGATCTCTGTGAGTTCAAGACCAGCCTGATTTACAGAGTGAGTTCCAGGACAGCGAGGACTGTTACAGAGAGAAACCCTGTCTCAACCAAAACCAAACAAAAAGAGTTGCAGCTGCCAGGGCTAGAGAGATGGCTCAGGTGCTAAGAGTACTTGCTGTTCTTTTAGAGGACCCAAATCCGACAGCTCACAGTCCCCTGTGACTCCTAACGCGTAACATTCTGGCCTCTGTTTGAGCACCTATGCGCATGTGGTTCACATGCATACCCTCAGACAGACACAGAGCAAACAGATCTTGGTGAGTTTGAGTCCAGGCTTATCTACATAGTGAGACTCTGTCTCTAAATACAAACATACTTACATATGTACATTACATATTCACTCCAGCTGAAGGCTTGGAGGCACCTGGAGGTCTTAACCAAACACCCTAAATCTCCAGGTGAGTGGTGTTCTGAACTGTTGGTGTGCTTATGAGCCCTGTGGACGTCTTCTAGGTGGGGTTCAGGCTTTTCTTGTTTTGTTGTCCTCTTATTGATTTGTAGGGGTTTTTAATGGATTCTTATTTTTATTTATTTATTTATTTTTCATTTTACATACCAACTACAGTTCCTCTAATGGATTCTACATGTATTTTTTTTTTCAAATACATGTACTTCATACTTGGGTTTGTTGTTTTGTTTTCTTTCTTAAGAACATCTCTTTTTCCCCTTAATTACATTTATGTATCTTGTTTGTCTACATGAGTTGCACATGCTCTTACGTGGAGGCTGAAGGATTGGTGGGAGTCATTTGTCTCTTTCCACCATTTGAGTTTCAGAATTGAACTCAAGTTGTCAGGCTTTGCACCTTTGCATGATGAGCCATCTCACTGGCCCCATTTAAGTTTTTAAAATGTATTGTTAACTAATGTATATGTATGGGTGTGCCAAGTGTCCACGGAGGCCAGAAGGTGTCAGTTTCCTTGGAACTGGAGATGTAGACAATTGTGAGCCTCCATGTGGGTCCCTAACCTACTGAGCTCTCTCTCTTTTTTTTTTCCCAAATAATTTATTTATTTTTATTATATGTGCACTGGTGTTCTGCCTGCATGTGGTGTGTCTGTGTGAGGGTGTCGGACTCTGGAGCTACAGACAGTTGTGAGCTGCCATGTGGGTGCTGGGAATTGAACCTGGGTCCTCTGGAACATCAGCCAGTGCTCTTAACTGCTGAGCCATCTCGATGGTACCATCTCATTTTGTAGCCCAGTGCTGGGTTACAGGGTTAGTTACTTCATCTGGCGTTGGACGTCTTTTGGTGACAGAAGTTGTGAATTTTACTTTGGCCCAGTTTATTGACTTTTTCCCCTTTAGTGCTTTTTTGGTTCTATTTAAGAAAAGTAGAAATGTCTGCTTACCCTAAGTTCTGAAGATCTATTCTGGTAGCTTTTATCTTTCACCCCACTTGGGATCAGCTTAAGTGAGGCAGGACTCATGTGGCTGTCCAGTTGATCCACACTGTCCCCTGCTGTCTCCTTCTCGGCCCCTGTTGTCCGTCTGTCTGAGGCTCTTGGGGACGCCTCTGTTCACGGGTGTGCTGGTCCCCTGCACCAGTTCTGCCTGCTTCATGTTCCGGGCCTTTGTGCTTTCCTCCGTGGCTGGTCGTGGGGGACACACCTCTCTCTTCCCTCTTCAAGGTGTTCCTTCTCATCAGTGGTCCTTTGCATGCTTGACCAACTCCCAGAATGGCCTTTTGGTTTCTTCCAGAATAATTGCTGACATTTTCATTGGGGGTTGCATCAAGACTAGGTCGAAGAGGTGACATTATCCTTCATCTCACAGTATTTTCTATTTTTAAAGATTTATTTTATTTTTATTATGTACATATATGTGGGTTTGTGTGTATTTGAGTACAAGAGTCAGCAGAGGCCAGAGGCATTGGTTCCCCTGGAACTGGAGTTACAGGCTGTGGTGGGCTATCTGACATGGGTACTGGGACTTGAACTCAGGCCTCTGAGAGAGCAGTGTGTGCTCATAGTTGCTGAGCCCCTTCTCTAGCTCCTCACAGTATCTTCTGACTCCTGCTGAGTCTTCTCACCCACAGCCTCTTAGGCTTTCATCATTGTGACAGGTGCCTGAGAGAGCAGCCTTGGAGGAGGAAGATGCATTTGTCTTACAGTCTCAGAGTTGGGCTGTGGTCCCTTGCCTCATCTTTAGGTGTGAGTTACAGTTGTTACAGTGGTGGCCTGTGTGAACTAGATGCTGCTCACCTTGTGGCATCTGGGGGAAGCAGAGAGAGCAATGGAGATAGAGGGCACCACCTCCCAGTGTTTCCACCAGTGTCTGTCAGTGGGTCGCGTCCTCCCTGATAAAGGCAAAGCCTCTGTGAGCCTGGTCTCCTTTGGTGATCGGCTTCACCAATTGGAGACCAAGCATGTAACACATGAGCCTTCTGGAGGATACCTCAAATCCAAATCATAACGATTTCTAGATATTTGG